CATCTACTCAGCCCTTCTTGCAGTTTTCTGTAGATGTAACCAACCGTCTTATTAAATAAGAAACACAGAACCAATATAAAAGAGAAAGCTGAGAGGTCAGAGCTAAGAGCTAAAATCTCACCCTTCCTCCTGCAGTGGTCCTAGCTCCCCGAAAGAGAGCTACTTCCTGTGTGTAAGTCTTTTCATAGTCTTTTTGTTCTGCCTTCTCATTGGTTGCAAACCCAAACACGTGACTGCCTCATCACTGTCTGTATGTACAGCCCCCCAGGTTTTAAAGGCATATGTCTCCAATGCTGGCTGTATCCCTGAACACACAGAGATCTACCTAGCTCTTCTACCAAGTGCTGGGATTAAAGGCGTGTGCCACCACCGCCACACTCTTGCTATGGCTCTAATAGCTCTGACCCCCGGCAACTTTATTTATTAACATACAATCAAAATCACATTTCAGTACAATTAGAATACCACCACAGTTTTCCTTTTGAGACAGGGTTTCACTAGACTGCCCAGGCTGGCCTTGAACTTGCTCTGTAGCCAAACAGGCCTCAAATGTGTAATCTTGCTTCAGACCCCTGAGTAGCTAAGATTATAAGCCATCACTATCAGGACTCTAATTTAAAACATTTTTATTTTTAATTGATACATGATAATACATATTTATGGTATGTGATACTTCAGGATATACATATGCACATGAACATACATATATACAGATGTGCAAACACACAGTGTGTAAAGATCAGATCGGGGTGATTCTCCTAAGTGTGATCACCACTAACTTTTACCATCTCTCTGCGGCAAGAACAGACAAACACTTCTCTGATTATTTTGAAGTTTACAATTAACTATTAACTATGACTACCCCATGGTAATATGAAGCCCTAAAACTTCCTCATCCTATCTTATTCCTCATCACCCTCCAGCCCTCCTTTGTTCTTCTAAGCATCAGGTAACCGTTGTTCTAGATCAGTGGTTCTCAATCTTCCTAATGCTGCAACCCCTCAATACAGTTCCTCATGTCCTGGTGACCCCCCCAACCATAAAATTATTCTTATTGATACTTCATGACTGCAATTTTGCTATTGTCATGAAACCTAATGTAAATATCTGACATGCCACCCCCAAAGGGGTCGCGACCCACAGGTTGAGAACTGCTGTGTTCAGTCTGTACTTCTGCAAAACTAACTTCTTCAAAGCTTCTACCTGTAAGTTTGGAGTGTTAAGTATTTGTCTTTCTGCTTATTTCATATAACAGAATGTCATCTAGGCCCCCGGCCACAAAAGACAGGCTTTCACTCTTTTTACAGCTGAACACTATTCCATTGTGCATACATGATGGGTTTTCCTAATCCATTTGCCTACTGATAGGATTTTTGCATTTCTTAGCTGTGGTGAATAGTGCCTCAGTCAACATGGGAATATGCCTCTTCAGCATACTGATTTCAGTCTCTTTGTTTATATACCCAGTAGTGGGGCTGCTTTGAACCCTTTTTTAATTTTTGTGAATGGATATCCTGCCTATATGTGTGACTGTATACCATGTGTGTGTTGGATCCCCTGGGACTGGACTTACAGACAGGTGTCAACCGCTATATGGGTGCTGGGAATTAAACCAAGGTCTTCTGAGAAGAGCAGCCAGTGCTCTTAACCCCTAAGCTTCCTCCCTCTCCAGCCCTATGCACGACTGATTTTATTGTAGTTCTGTTTCTAGTTTTTAAGGAGCGTCTGTGTTGCTTTCTGACTGTGCTGATTTGCAATGCCACCAACACCGTCCTGAGACTTCCCTTTTCTCCACATCTCACCAGCATGTCACCATCCTTTAGACAATAGCCATTTAAAACTGGGTTAAGATGAAGAAGCCTGGCTAGAACGCACTAGAAAGTTTTAAGCAAGGGGCTAACAAAGTCTCCTCTGGTCTTGTGAACGCCCACTCTGAGGACCCACAGCATGAAGTGTGGAAATCCAAGACCTCTGGAAAACTCTGCTGGAGTGAGGTTGATGTGTTGTATCAGACGGTGGAGATGGCGGGAACCGTCAGCCCTGAGATAGACTGTGTCTGTAAGTGGATGCAGGGAAGTTACTACAGCGCCAGCTGTGGAGATTCGTGTGTGGAGTAAGATACCAAGCAGGCCTCCTCGAGCAATGAGGTAGATAGTGTTATCATTTGCAAAGCAAGAAAGGCAGGGTGGAAGGAAATGCCTAGAAGGAATGGACAATCCATATCTCTGTTTGGTCGTGTTAGGGCTGAAGTCTGTCCACTTCCAAAAGGAAGTGAACAGAAAGATACTGGAGTCCCAGCTCTAAGATGGAGAGCTGAGAACTGCCAGTGTGTAGATGACTCCCAAGGCCATGTTTATTTGCCTTACTCTGCTTCAGAACACAAGACACCATTACCTAAAACTCCCTGTTTGCCTCTCAGAAAGACTTGGGTCCACTGGCAAGAATTATAAAATGAAGGGCAGATCAGGGTGGTGAGAACACGCTGTTCTAGAGAAGGAGCAGCCCGGGCACATGTGTAAGATCTCAGCCTCGTGAAGGTTCTGAGTCCGGATCTCGGGATTTGATGGATGATGAATGTGGGGTGCAGAGAGGCGAGAGAGCCAGGGATGCCACGTATAGAGCCACAGCACAGCCAGGGACTGAGGTCAAGCTTGGCACATGCTGTGAACTGGCTTTAAGTTAATTTTTTTTAATTTAAATTTGAATATATTTTAGTGTTCTGATCCTTTATCATTCATATATTTTAGTTCTTGTCCTTTATTCTACAAGGCTTGTGAGAGTTCCAGCACAACACAGAACAGACAGGACTGGAAGTTATAAAACCTGTGCTGCCTCTGGGAGCTGATGAGTGCCTCTCTGCTCAGAAGGCTCCTCTAAGTCAAGCTTACTTTTAAATCTTGGCGGATAAAAAACTAGGTCTCAGGTGTCCTCACAGCAAAAGAGGTGCCACTCTGTTCCCACAAAGGACCACTAGAGGGCTGCAGAGACTCGCAATCAAGGGAATCGGAGGCCCTCTGAAGCCCGGATCAGACCTTGTCTAGGGTCCGACCAGGCCTTTAAGGCTGAGGAAACTGGAATTTCGGGGGGTGGCATGGTGTTCCCCAGGCATGGTGTTCCCCATGTCCCCTTTGCTACTACGTAGCCAAGTCACAATTCCACTAGAGTTTTCACTCAGGTTCCGATATCTTGGAAACTTGGGAGCCAAGGATCCCATTTGCTGTAACTCATCTTATATTCCCTGGTGAAATTTCCTAATTTCTCTGAATCTTACTGTCTTATGAGATATGAATACTTCAACTGTGCCAGTATTGTGTTCTGTTGGAAGTAGCATAGCTGAGAGACCCAGCAGCTCGTGGTCACTCATCAAATGTTCAGGCCTTCAACGCCCCCCACCCCCGTCTCTGTCTCTGTCTCTCTGTCTCTCTGTCTCTCTGTTTCTCTCTCTCTCTCTCTCTCTCTCTCTCTCTCTCTCTCTCTCTCTCTGACACCTCAACTTCATGAAATGACTTTCAAGAATGAACCCTAAGGGTTCTGTCTGGCCATGCCCTTTGATACATGTTGAAGAACAGCTGACAGGAAGTACATATTGTTTTTAAGAGGCCATCAAATCAATCACAGGAAGGGTATATATCTTTAATCCCACAAGGAGTCGAGGGTAAGAAAGTAGCTTTCTTGCCTCTGTCTAGGTTGGTATCCCCACTCTTTCTTTTCACCCACTGCTCATTGGCGGATGTCCATTGGGCGGCATTAGAAACAAAGAGGGTGGTGTCCGATGGGAGGGCACAGCAATAACCACCGGCCCCTGCCCAGTCACTGTTTCTGTCTTCCTCATCTACCCTCAATGTAGTTCTGTCAAGCATCATTAGCCTCACCTCAGAGATGAGGAAACCGAGCCTCAGAGAAGTCAAATGATCTCTCTAAGGCCTTTCAGAAAGTTAAGTGGCAACCTCAGCGTTCAAGGCCAGCTTAGCCTGAGTGCTAGCCCTGCTGGTCTTCTTTGCCTGAGGCTCTCACCACATGAAAGCGAGGACCAGGAAGTATCATGGTAATACCGGAAAGAAGACTACCGCTTAAGCGGCTGCTGCAACCCCGAGACTACCCATTGGGGCCCTGGGGACATCCCAGAGGTTGCTCACACTGGCCTGTGGGTGGGGTTAGGAGACCAGGGGTGGGTGGGGACTGACAGGTTCATCAGTACTGAGTCCAGTGTATCAATGTATCCAATGTAACAATGTATCCAATGTATCAAAGTATTTGGTGGGTAAGAATCTCTCCGTTCTCCGTTCTCGGCTGTTTGAGTTCTAAAAACCAACTCTTCCAGAAAGGAAGCAAGGTCAAAAACTAAGGTTTCTGAAGCCAGAGTCGGAAACTGCAGTTCTCCTCACCAACAGCAGCTTCTAGAAATTAGCTTCACGTTGAGTTCTATTTTTAAAACCCTGACCAAAGTGACTCGGCGAGGTAAAGAAGGTGAAAGGTTCCAGGAACTTCCCGAAGCATTTAACACAGCCAGAGGCTGACCTGACCTAATTGGCAGGAGTAAAGGAGACCAGGGAATCCCAGCTCCCTCTGCCTCCCCCGGGCTGGCAGACTGCCACCTAAAGATACTAGCCCGGTGCGCGCGCCCGCAGCAGCTGCTCTGCGCCTCCACCGGCTTTCTGGGGCGCTGCCTACCAGCAGGTCAGGCATGCGCACATCTTCTGTACAAGAATGTCCAGATGCTGTTCAGACGCCGTTCTAGAAATAGCCAGCACCTGAGTGTAACCCGACACGGGAAACATCTTTCCATGCGTGTAAAGCAGGCTCCTCTAAGGGGTAGGAGGAGAGGAAGTCCTAATTAGCATCATTCTTTCATCCAAAAGAACCGAGCCTCCAAGCCCCCAGCCTAGTAGATCTAGACCCTGGCTGCATACTAGATTCACCTGGGCACTTTGGAAAAAGACCCACACCACCGCAACTTCACCCCCCCCCAAAAAAAAAAAAAAACAATTAAAAAAGATTACCTGGGAGTGGAGCCCAGTCCTCTGTGTTTTTTAAAAAGTTCGCTGGATGATTCTTATGTGGTGAGAACCATTCCATATTAGAAACAACGCAAAACAGGCCAGGCCTCCAGCAGAGGGGCTTCCACGGGGCCTGTGTTTTCTGGGAGGTGACTCTGAATCATCTTCACCTGCAGACTGAGAGGAGTTTGCATATGTCACAGACGGGGTGGGTGCGGAAGTGTATGACTGTCCAACAACCCGCAACCAGCAAGCAGCCGCTGCCGAGGAACGGGGTTTCCAGATCCCATGACTCTTGTGTTCTGCCATTAGGCAGCACTTTAAGGATCCACTTGGAAAAGAGACTCGGGGATGTGTATCACTGCACCAAGGCAAGGTCACGGCCAAAGGAAAAAGACGGGCGGCTGGGTCTATCCACCAACCGGTAAGTGCCGGTTGCTGTTCCCAAGCTCACGTTGATCTATCTGTTCCTCTTTCGCTTAACTGCTCTCCTCGAGGATTTTCTAGACAACCTTGTGGCCAGAACTGTAAGTAGATATTTAAGAGACTGCTGTGCAGAGATCAGCAGTTGGCCCTAGGATATGCTGAGTCCTAAGGAGAACATAATTTATTGCACACTCTTAGCAGAATAGTTAGCACTCGCATGGTGGCCGCTTTGCCGGCCATTAGTTAATGGTCAATAGGTGTTGGGGGGGGCGGTCAGCCTGTGTTCACAGGAAAGGCACTGACAGGTGCAGCACGGGCCGAGGGCTGCAACCCAGACTTTGAAATCCAATCCCCTCTCTGGGAAGCTGTTTAGCAGCCTCTGAACCTTGCTCCTTGCCGCTTTAGGCTTCGGTACAGTTTTGCCTACCCTGGAGTGGGCTGTACCATTCGCAAAGCAGCCTCCAAGATATTTAGTCTAGCTTCCCAAGTGCTGGTCCTCTGGGAAGTAGCAATTACCCTTCCTAAACAAACCCACTGGTCCCTGCCCTTCCCCCTCGGCAGCTTTGGCCTTGGCTCTTGGTTCTTTCATCCTTCATCTTCCTCACTCTCCGTGATGGCCAGAGAAGTTCATCTGTTTGCCGCTTGTCCATCACTAATGAGCAGACCCTCTTATTTTGCAAGTGAAGAAACTGAAATCCAAAGAGCAGAGCCACACTGTAGGTAGCAGAGCTGGGACCTGCCCAGCCTCCGGGTCCCATGTGGGTGGTCTGTCAGGTCCTACTCAGTCAGGGCTGTGAAACTTCCAAGTGGAGATTTCGTTCAAAACACTAACCAGTACAGCCCAGAAACATTAGACACGTTTTACTGGCATCTGAGCCTGGGTCTAACCTCGGACAAAATCACAGTGAAAGCAAAGATATAGTCTTAAAACCCTATATGCCTCTTTCAAACCAAGACAAAAAAATCTCAGAATGTTTACCAATATCTATTATTAATACTTTGATATTTATCAAATCCTTATCTATTTTTTTTCAAAGCGGACTTGCCAAAAGAAGAATCCAAAGAATAAGTCTCTAATAATAGAATGTTTAGGGATTGTTTGATGGTTATTCTGTGATAGACGGAATCTGCTGGCCCTCTTGGCTCCTTCAAACACCATGGAGAATAATAATAAATTCCACCTACACTTACTAAGCACTCAGCGTGTTTCATGTGATGCAAAAAGTGCTTTCCGTGTACGTGTGTCCAATGCCACACGACACAAGTCTTACTGTCTCCTGGTGCAGGTGAAGAAACGGAAACTCGATTGGCCCAAGTTCACATGGTCAGCAAGCACCCGAGACGGGGTCGAGTTTCTGTTCAGAAGATTCTCCGCCCCATACCCCAACCACAGATGCCATCCCCTTGACTGGGGCTGTTCTTACGAACATGCAGAAATGATAGGCCTGGCAGCGACTGCACGCACAGAGATGAACAGAGAAATACCAGCCCCCCAGGGCAGACACCCAGCAGTTCTGACTGCCTCCCACCCTCCTTGCCCCTCACCCACACTGGACCATCCATCTCCTCATTAGTCACACACCCTGAAGGCCACGCAGGGAAACATGCAGTCTGAGCACAGCCCGGCCTAACCCTGGAATGGAGCCTGATGCCTGTGACATTCATCAACTGGTTAATTTCAGAAAAGCATCCGTTTGCACCAGCTGCTTACAAAGCTCTTGGCCCTCAGGAGACAAGCAGCCAATCACAGGGCAAAGTAGAGAGGCGCGGAGTTTTTCTGGGAACAGTATTCAACTGCGGGGGGGGGGGGGGGGGGGGGCTGTCTGCCGCTTGGCTGGTTGTGTAATTTCAGCGAAGCTCGGGAGAGTGGAAGGTAGAGTTTCAATGAATGATCTTATTTCCTTTCAATTATTTTATATTTAAGGGTCATATTTGTCCTTAAAGCACAAGTACTATTAACCTTTTATCAGGAGGATGATGGGCATAACTCAATGACTCCTGTTGCTCTTTGTATGCCTGGCAGTTTCTGGCAGTCTCTCCAGGTGGTAGCATCGTGTGTGTGTGTGTGTGTGTGTGTGTGTGTGTGTGTGTGTGTGTGTGTGTGTGTGTTTAGGGAGAAGAGGGGAAAAGTCACCACAGGTCCACCATCTGCTCCTAAACTTCCTCAGGTTCAAACCTCAAGAGATACATGGCTTTTAGAGATGCCTGATAAACCAGAATTTAAACACATTCCCACAGACAAAGAGAGACAGCTCAGCCTTTACAAGATTGCATGAGGCATGGTGTCCTTCCTCCCAGCTGTCAAGTCCCCTCAGGAGATCAGATGTCTTGACATCACAGAGAAACACTTCAGGATATTCTCAGAGAAACATTGCACCCACCTAGAGCAAAAAAATATGATTATTCTAGTCCAAACACAACATGGAGATAACACTACCCATTCCTATGCTAAGAACTGAAGATGCAAAGAATGTCCCTCTTCTGAAAATAGATGTCACACACACAGAACAAGACAGGAAGTGGAAAGATACCAAATCTTACCACTTCTGTTCATCATTGCATTCTATAGAACCATGGGATATGAAAAAGAAAATAAAACCACTACAATTGAAAAAGAAGAGGTAAAACCGTCATTATTTCCAGGCGACATGATTGTGTATGCTGCCTTTCCACATCCCTCCTCTGCACCAGGCACTGGACAGGAATGATCTCACCTGGTCCTTGCAAGAGCCCGTGAGAAAAGTTTATCATCCTCATTCTGCTGGTGGTAAAGCAGAGATTCATTGAGGTCAGCATCCCACTCAGGTGTGGTGTGTGTACCTGCAGAGCTGACCTGCCGAAGCATCCCCTTTACCCGTCTCTCTAGCTTGAGAGCTCCTTAGGCCTCTGCCATCCTCTGTCCACCTCACACTACCTTGTGCCTCTGTTGTTCTGAACACCCTGGCTAATGTTTGCTTATGTGGTCCTTCCGATGGTCTCCATGGAAGCCGTCAGTCTTGGCTGCATTTGATGCTTTCCACATTTGCTTTGGATTCAATGGCTGATTCAAGGTAAGAGTGAATTAGTCCAGAATCCATACATAGATAATAATAGAAGTAAATTGGTAGTGATAATAATAAAGGGCAGTCAAGAGAGGGAAGAACAAAAGTCTGTGACCTATCCATGCACTTAGTAACAAATATGTATGGAATACATATGGTGTATTAGTGATTGAGGGCATAGAGCTGAAGATGAGCAGGACCAGGCCAGGCCTGCAACTGCCTACAGTGTAGAGCAGTAGGAGCAGAGGGCAGTTATGACTGACATTTAGAGTAGCTGGGGTGGAAGAGAACATATACAGCACAACCTGGCCAACCTTTCCCTGTGGGGGAAAGCGTGGAAGACTCCGCAGTGCTTGCTTTTATTGCTATACAGAATTTCTTCCATAATGGCATCCTGCGATCAACAGAAGAAGTTCTCTTCTTTGTTGTTGCTTTTGTTAGTTTGTTTGTTTGTTTGTTTGTTTCGGTTTGGTTTGGTTTTGGGAGACAGGATTTCTCTGTATAGTCCCAACTGTCCTGGAACTCACTCTGTAGACCAGGCTGGCCTTGAACTCACAGAGATCCACCTGCCTCTGCCTCCCAAGTGCTGGGATTAAAGATGTGCGCCACCACTGCCCAGGGAAGAAGTTCATTTTTAAAAGTCATGTTTAGGACCAAACCAAATATAACTATAGCAAGTTTTTAGCAATTGTGGCTTATAACTAGAGAAAAGCATGCTGAAGTAAAATTTCAAACAACAACAATCCTAGCATGAAACTTCATGTGTATTCATTTGTTTCCTCTTCATTATCCCTGAAGAGATAAGCATTTTACAGACTCACTGATGGGCATAAAGGACCAAATATCACTTATTACCTACGAGTTACCTGACTTGGGCTAAGTGTCCTGCAGTGGAGAGTGGGTTTTAATTAGAACAAGATAACAGTTAGCCCTGTAGATCTGGGCCTTGGTGGGTAAAGGAAATAGCCTGGTCCATAGCTTCTAAGACATTTTAAATTCCGAATGCTGATAATACTTCTTGATCTGGTTTTCTTTGGGAATCAGGTCAAGAAGGGCAAGAGATGAGAAGAGAGAGAGCAGACTGAAGACTCAGGGCTCTAGAAGATGCCATGTGAACAAACTCCCATAGCCTTAGCACAGAACAAGAGCCCAGGAGGCAACCAGGAAATAGGAGCTGGGCAAAATGGATGTATGAAGGAAAAAATAACAGAAGAAAAACAAAATAGTTATTTCCATATGAAAACGATTGCTGCATAGCAGAAAACAGTGTAAATCTGTAGCTCATGAATGTACAAGACGGCTCAGTGGGAAAAGTACTTGGCTGTGGAAGCCTGAAGTCCTGGGTTTGATCCCACAGACATCCTCATGGGGGAAAAAAGGATTGGGCATAGTGGCCTTTAATTACAGCATTCTGGAGCCAGAAGCACGTGAGTGTCTGTGAGCTCCAGGCTAGCCTTCTCTATATATGAAAATTCTAGGATAGCCAGGGCTACATATAGAGACCCAGTCTCAAATCCTGGATTTAGTGATAAAGCTTACAAATCAGTCCATGGGCCTGCTAGCCTGGAGTACTAGGCACAGCAGAGATAAGAGAGACCTTGCCTCACTCAACAAGGTAGAAGTTAAGTTGACCTCTAGACATGAGGTTGGGAGGAGTCTGTTGTGGAACATTATTTTAAGAGGTGTTACATTTGTTTACGCTGTATAGAAGGAAAAACAAGAGAGATGAAGGAGTGTGAAAAGAAGGGGCCAGCCACCCAGTCACACAGCCAGACACAGAATAAGAAGGAAAGAAAAGATATGCAGAAATAGACAAAGGCAAAAGCCCAGAGGCAAAAGGTGGACAGGATAATTACATTAAGAAAATCTGGCTAGAAACAAGCCAAGCTAAGGCCAGACATTCATAAGAAAGAATAAGACTCCATGTGACTTATTTGGGAGCTGGGTGGGGGCACCCAAAGAGTAAAGAGTAATAAAACAACCAACAGGAGTTGATGGTGACGAGTAGATCTAGGAAGAGTTAGGGGAGGAATGAGATGTGAGTATGATCAAACTACATCATGCACACATGAAATTCTCAAAGACTTAATAGAAATAGTAAATGAGTATTTTTAAGGTTGGCCTATGACCGCTATGTGTGTGTCATGGAATGCCATAAATGCTACATACACATCATCATCATCATCATCATCATCACACTCAAACCTGTCATTAGGGATGCATCTCCAGGGGATTGCTAAGAAAATGCCACGTGCAGATCTGAGCTTCCTTTGGGTTTGCTGGGAATATAAAGTTCTGCCATCAGACAACTTCAAGTTCAGATCCAGACTCAGCTGCTTTTCAGTGTGACCTTGAGCAGGTCACTCAGTCTCTCCAGGCCTCATTTCACTGGCTATGATTAGGGGACAGCATTAGTACTGTCTTCATAAGATTGCTGAAGGGCAAGCTGAAATAAAACACGTATGACCCGCACGTGGGGAGAGTGGTATCAATGACCCATTGCCTCTACTTCTGAGTCGGTGCATGGAAACCAGAGTGACAGGAAACATTGGTCGCACCAACACTGGCATCTCCTCATCGTATCTGTTGTTATTTGAGGTCGGGAATCGTGACGGCAGCAAATGGATTAAGTAAATAGAGGGTTTTAAGAGCCTCAAGAAGCACTAAAGGAACTGAGATGAGGCAGTATGGAGAGGGTGGGGCAAGCATACCCAGGACTTGTGCATGTTGGAGATCTTTAAGAAACCCAACATACCGCACTATTGGAAAAGACAGGCTGGCTTCCATGTAGGAGGGAGACGTTTCCTGAGCAGTGCCTAGCAGATTTGCAAAGGGAAGGACAGTGGCCTCCTACTTTGCGGAGCTGTGTAATACAGACAGCTTCTGACCTACTGCCGTGGGGTCTTGACCAAAGGTGAAGAGGAAGTTCCAGTGACTCATGAGGGCCAGGAGCCTAGCACTTACAGCATCCTTGTGCTTGTCGGCTCCTGTTTTTCCACACGTGCCCACACTTGCTGAGCACCTACTGTGTGCTGGCTGGCACCCTTCTAACCCTGTCTTCGCAACTGTTCAATTGCTGTGACAAAACCCCATGACCAAGGTAACTTAGAGAAGAAATCATTTAATTTGGGGCTCACAGTTCAAGAATG